ACAGGCATCATTGGAGTTAATTATCAGCTAGCAAGGGTATGTGTTAGAAAGCAGGTTACTGGCACAGATTCAGATTGCTAGCCACCCCCCTCCCACCAAAAAAAGTCTTATATTTCGCATCATTACTATATGCAAGGCATTGTGTCAAGCCCTTGGATGGCTTGTTTTCCTTGCCCTTTCCTTCTTTTTAAATGTCCTCTATGCTTGTATATCATCTCTGCTACAGTCCTGGTGTGTCTTTGTTAGCCCTTCATGACTGGATTGATGTCTTAATTTCTAATATTATATTTCACAAGTGCTATCTTGATACAATATTTAAATCATGACTAAAACTCTCAATTCCCCTTTGCTGGCAGGTTACTAAGTTCCCACCCAAACTGTTTCCTTATCAGGCTCTCACTCTTGGGTTAGGTACTACACAACTGGAAACAGCCTCCTACAATGGAGCTGGAAATTTATTCAAGTTAGTGAATGCCCAGGATGCCAGTGAAACCTAGGTAGTCTTCCCCCTTCCAACCCCCTTCCCCAATTCCTCAAACATAAGCCAGGAAGCTCCTACATCTCCAGTGTGCCCTCACCCTGTCCCCTGCGTATAACCCACTAAGCAACCCTTCATGCAACTTTCCTCCCTTTGAAGGCGTAGACAACAGAGTTCTGCATATCATGTCTGTGTTGTGTCCTTCCATTAAAAGAATCTTTAAATTTTATAAATCAATCTCTGAACTGTTTTCCCACTTCTCTTTTCCCACACTGATTTGCAGACTTCTGTTAAATAATTATTTCTCACTAGTTTGCTCACTGCATTCCTTTACCCTGACCTTTAGTTTGTTGTTACATCAAGTCTTTACATTGTCTAGTTTCCAAAGCCATAGGTAAATTGGCCTGCTTTGCTCATGCAAATTTATGCAATGCTCCTCTCCTTATTTTCCTTTGTTTGAGACCTATCATTTACTGGATTTGAATAGATACTGCTTACTCACATCTTCTCTGTACTTTTCTTCATTTTGTTTTCTTTGATTGGAATATTTTGTCCTTTTTGAACTGTCCAAATTTTATCCATCTTGGTGGCCAGAAAGAATAGTTAGGAAGAGTATGAGCTCTGGATTTAGATTATCTAGATTAACCTCAGTTCCACCACTTACTCTGATATTTTTAAAAAAATGTTTTTATTGATTTCAGAGAGAGAAAGGGAGGAGAGAAATAGAAACATCAATAATGAGAATCATTGACTAGCTGCCTCCTGCACACCACCTAGTGGGTGTCAAGCCCGCAAACCTGGGCATGAGCTCTGACCATTAATCAAATGTGACCTGGCTCATGGGTCAATGCTCAACCACTGAGCAACACTGGCCCAGTACACAGTCTTATATAAATTCCTTTGCCTCTCTCTGCTGAGGTTCCTCATCACTAAAGTAGAGATGCATGTAGTGACCCCATAAATATAATGCACATAGCAACTACTCATTTAAATGGACTTTAATTTTGTTCTTTAAGGCATTTAAAATTTTTCCTTGATTATTGCAGTCTCCCTCACTTTCCCTCTCTTATCAATTTCTATAATATAACATCTATGATCTGAATGATCATTTAGCAGTTAATTTTGCAGTTTGTTTTGTAATATTTACCTATTGTTGCTTGTGTGTCATTCTTGTTTCTTCAACTAAGGTATGACTTCATAGAAGAATTTTATGCTTCTCTAATCACCATGATAAAAATAGCAAAAATATGTGGCTCTTTTTATGGTCCAGGCACTGTTTTAAATGTTTTACAGATATTAATTACCTAATTTTCTCAATAATCCTAAAAGTAAGTAATATTATTAGCTCTTATTTACAAATTAAGTAAGGCATAGAGAGGTTACAATTTAAGGTCAACTACTTGGGAAATGGCAGAACCAGTAGTTAAAGCTGGCTGTTTTGGCTGCAGAATCCATGTTTTCTAACTATGACTACAACTGCCCTTATAAGACCTAGTGAAGTGTATACTGATAATAGATGCTCAAGATATATGTTTTTGCTGTTCTTCTTAACTATATACCAATTTCAAAATGGCAGTAATAACAACAAATAAAAAGTCACTAGTAATATTTTTTAAAAGTATTATGAAAGAATGTGAAAACCCACATTGGAGAAATGTATAGTATAAATTATGTTTGAAGACTAATACCACTGAAGAATTTTTAGTGCCTGTTTATGCATCTTTATCAATCTCTGTTTTTTTTTCTTATATATTTTTGCATAACCCCTATCTTCATTAATATGGTTTCATTAATATGGTACCCTTTAGCAAATTGTAATTAGTAAAAGTAAAGAATATAAAAACTGAATATTTAAACTAAATTATGTAAGTTATTAAAAATGGATCAATCAAATTACTTTTTCTTGTTTGCATCATGTACTTGCCCTAATAATATTTCAAGTAATCATTTATACTTAATGGAAAGCAATTATATCAGAGTACTATTGATTTTGTGCTTGAAAGTTTGGCCTGGGTGTAATTTTTATGCATCACAGTTTTAGAGAAAACCGCTCAAATTCTATTTCATTATATTCTGCTAGAAAAATCAATGCCTTACACATGTTGCAAAATAACTTTTAATAGCTCAACTAGTTTGTGAAAATGTCCCTGACTCATGAAAGTAAAGTATTCTTGGTCACCAATGAAAAATGCACATTGTCATTTGCTTTCATAACTAATATTTCTTAAATTTCTGAAACATCTATTAATATTTAAAGAAAGTTTTCAGCCACTGCTCTTACATATTGCAGTCAGGGTTTTAAGAAATTATGACTTGTGTTTTTTTTTTTAATTGAACCACCAAATTTATTATGATTTTAGTGTATTTACTAAATTATTCAAAGAGTTAATTGTAGAAAGTTATTAATCTATGGTAGTACATCAAAACAAGATACTGTTTTTACATGGCCCTACCTAGATGAAGCTTTGGTCACAGGGCTGTCTTTTTGGGTGTACATCCTGAGTACAGAGAGGTAGTTGCCCATAAGATATTGTTTGATCAACACATGAAATGATTTTTTTCCTGCCTCTAAGTACAAATGGTTTCTTTTTCTCCCTGTTAAAATTGAGGTTTATTCCTTTGAGCAAAACATTTATTTCCAATTCTTAACTTTAAAAATAGAAATATTTAAATGGGTCTTAGTATGGAAACTACCAATCACTTACAACTTGAGTGTTTTTAATTAGTTTACATAATAAATTTATATAATTTTAGTTCTATACGCTTGACTTTGTAATGTAATAAGATCAGAACTCTGCAGAAATAAGCCCCTTGATTGTAACTAGAACAGTTCAGATTTCTCATCTAATCCTTGATGACAAAAGACTAGATCATATTCCCTTTATATCTTTGAAGTAGCATTCAGTACTGATGGCAATTTCATGTGTCTATTTACTTTGTAATCATTAATATTCTGTCAGAGATAAGTTTTTCATATAATTGAAACTAAAATCCATGCTACAATTTTACTTACTGTTTTAATCGGCTCCAGCAGAGCATCACAAAGATCATTCACCATGACCAAGTAGGATTTATTCCAGGAATGCAAGGATGGTACAATATCCGCAAATCAATAAACGTGATGGAAATCTTTATTGAGTGAATGGTAGAACTTTCTGTCTCCTTTTAAATACAACATAGTAAAACTAATTTCAGTCACCTACTACCTATTCATTTCCATAGTCAATATTTTAAAATAATTAAATTAATTGCCTCATCCTACCTTATAAAAGAGTGATATGCAAATTAACCCATACTCTGCTAAAGCCTCGCCCACCAGCCATTCCCACCAGCTAATCAGAGTATGTAAATTAACTCCAGCCAAGATGGCTGCAGGCACAGAGAGCAGTTGAGAGGTTTGGGTTTCAATAGAGGAAGCCAAGCTTTCCACACACCCTGGCTGGCTTAGGCCTCTGCTCAGCTATACAAAGTTTCAATTATAGAGGATAAATCCCAAGAAAAATGGTGGCAGCCATGGAACTGGAGAGAACAGGCTAGGGTTGCCCACAGCAACCGAGGAAGTCAAGCTTTCCACATACCGTGGTCAGCTTAGGCCTCCACTTAAGGCTACAAAGTTTCAGTTATAGTAGGTAAACAAATCTAAACAGAAATGGCTGCAACCGGAGTGAGCAGGGGGATTAGCTCCACTCCAGGCTACAAAGTTTCAATTGTAGAAGGTAAGTAAATTCCAGATACCAGAGCCCCCCCTTGGGTCGCTGGGGGGCGTAGCTGGCCTGCAAACCACCACAGGCCCCTCACCCACACTGCCCCACACCCCAAGGGAACCTCCACCCTGATCTGGGACACCCTTCAGGACAAACCAGATGGCCCCCGCCTGTGCACCAGGCCTCTATCCTATCTAATAAAAGAGTAATATGCAGATAGACTATCACTACAACACACAAGATGGCTGCCCCCATGTGGTCAAAGGTCCTTCCCCCATGTGGACACAAGATGGCCGGCACAAGACGACCAGCAGGAGAGGGAAGTTGGGAGGCACCAGGCCTGGAAGGGAAGGCAGTTGAGAGGGATCAGGCAAGCAGGGGAGGGCAGTTGGAAGTGATCAACCCTGTAGGGGAGGGTAGTTAGGGGTGCCCAGGCCAGCAGAGGAGGGAAGTTGGGGGCAAACAGGCTGACAGGGGAGCAGTTAGACATCAATCAGGCTGGCATGGGAGTGGTTAGGGGATGATCAGGCTGGCAGGCAGAAGTGGTTAGGGGCAATCAGGAAGGCAGGCAGGTGAGCAGTTGGGAGCCAGCAGTCCTGGATTGTGAGAGGGATGTCCGACTGCCCATTTAGACCCAATGGGATTGGGTCTAAACAGGCAGTTTAACATTCCTTAAGGCAGGGGTCCTCAAACTTTTTAAAGTGGTGGCCAGATCACGGTCCCTCAGAGAGCTGGAGGGCCGGACTATATGAACTACTAATTCCTACCCACACTGCACATATCTTATTTCACAAAAAGGTAAAAAATACAATATAAATAAAATGAAGAACATTTATAAATAAACAGATCACTTACTAGTATTTCAATGGGAACTGTGGGCCTGCTTTTGGCTAATGAGATGGTCAATGTCCGGTTCCATATTTGTCACTGCTAGTCGTAAGAAGTGATGCAAGTGGGCATCAGTTAATCTTGATCTGGTTGGAGATTTCAGATGTTTCATTCTTGAAAAAGTCTGTTCACAGACATAAGTGCTACCAAAGATGGTTACCATTTTGAGTGCATGGTTCCTGATATTTGGATATGTCTCAGAGGGGAGAAATGCATAGAAATTCAGAAGGCTACTTGACTTGAATGCGTCTTTCAGAGAGTCACAATTCTGCAGTTCAGCCAGTTCCATTTGGTAAATTGTAAGGACATTTTCAATCTCAACAGAAAATGGGTTATGAAACAGCTCTATGTCCTGTTCATGGAGATGAAGCTCTTTGAATCTAAATTGAAACTCCTTTTGCAACGATTCCAGTGAATCCACACATGTTTTCTTTGGGAATGCAACCAATGATTTGTCCGCTGACAGGTTTTGAATTGTTGGGAGATGGCTGAAGTTTCCCTCCTTTACTTGTTTGATGAGAAGGCCTAATTTTACTTCAAATGCTTTCACATGCGATGCCATATCACAGATGAGCTTCCCCTTTCCTTGAAGTTGCAGATTGAAACTGTTGAGTAGCTCTGTTATATCTGTCAGAAAGGCAAGGTGCCATTTCCATTCTGCATCATTGAACTCTGGTACTTCTTTGTTTTTTGAAAGTAGAAAAGCTGTAATCTGCAGAAGTAAGTCATAGAAACATTTCAAAACTCTCCCTCTACTCAGCCAACGGACTTCTGTGTGGTACAGATCATCCTCATGGGCAACATTTAGCTCAGACAGAAATTCCTGAAATTGTCTGTGGTTTGGTGCATGAACTCTAATGAAATTAACACAAGATACCACAATTTTCATAACAGAGTCCCACTTCAGTGATTTAAAACACAGCGCTTGTTGGTGGATGAGGCAGTGTATGGCAATTGGATGAGGATGGTTATGTTTGTCCATCTCTTGTTTAATGTGAGCAATTACTCCTCTCTTAGACCCCACCATGCTAGGAGCACCATCAGTTGTCACACTGGCTAGTTTAGCCCAGTCCAGCTCCAAACCATTCACAGTTTGGCAAACCTTTTCATATATATCCACTCCTGTGGTTGCACCTTTGATACTTTGCAGTGCAGCAAGCTCTTCTGTGACTTCAAAATACTCATTTGTCCCACGCATAAAAATGAGAAGTTGGGCAGAATCACGAACATCATTGGTTTCGTCGAGTGCCAAGGAAAAATAGCAAAGTTTTTTTGCAGAGTTTTGCAAATGGTGCTGCAAATTGTCTCCCATTTCTTCAATCCTTCATGTCATTGTAGCTCCTGAAAGACTCACTGTACTAAATAAATCGGCCTTCTCTGGACACATCTCTTTGGCAACAGAAAGAAGGCATTCTTTAACAAATTCTCCCTCCACAAATGGTCTGCCATTGCGCGCTATTAGCTTGGCAACTTGAAAACTTGCCCTCAGTGATGAAATATTTAGCTGCTTCTGCTTCACAAAAGTATTTTGCTGAGTTGTCAGTGTATGTTTCAGTTTTAATATTTTATCTTTTCTCACTTCTCCGACCAAACAATCATATTTATCTTTATGTTGAGTTTGATAGTGGCGTCGCAAATTGTATTCTTTGAACACAGCAACTATATTCTGGCATATCAGACACACAGCTTTTTTTTGTACTGCGTGAAAAAGTAATCATAAGTCCACTGTTCTTTGAATATCCTGCACTCGGAGTCAATTTTTCTTTTTCTTGACATCATTGTTTCCTAGGGATTCCAAATTGCTATTAGTAAAATACTAATATGTGTGTGTGTATATATATATACACACACACACACACAGTGTATGAACTCCCATTAGTAGGTCTCTGCCCCCGATGTGGACACTTACCTCTTGCAGGCTTTTCTAAGCGGACCAGCTCAGTCCCTGATGGGGTTCGGTTATATCTCCCTATATAACGGCCAAATTGATATGTTCGGAATCAGCATGTGAACACTGAAAAGGAAATGCAAAATGCATATAAAATTTTTAATGTAAACCCCTTTAAAAGGCTTTAATCGTCTTTTTACACTGGAGTTGACTTTCTGGTTTGGAATGGGCCTGGCTATATTAGTAGGAAGATGCGATCAGGGTTGCCTCATGGAAAAAAAAAAGGCTGTTGGCTGGGGCGGCATGCTGTCAGTCTCAATTCTTCCACAAAGAGACTTGGTCCAAGTCCCCCCCCCCCCACCTGGTAGAATTTTGATTTCTCATATCAGCACCGAACACCTTCCCCCAAAAACTGGCAGAATTTTCCATATGGGCAATTCAGCACCGAAGCCCTGACCTCCCAACCACCCCCCACCGCCCCCACCGCAACTGGCAGAATTTTGATTTCAGCACCGAACACCCCCCCCCCAAAGGGGAATTTTCATATGAGTCACCAACCCCCCACCCCCAATCGGGCAGAAACCCCCCATCTGGCAAAAATTTCTTTCTATGGCACTTTCGACCGACCTTTGGTGAAGGCAGTGGAGGGAGAGGAGGAGAACCTCACTGACAGGCAGGCACAGCACACAGACACCATGTTGCCTGGGGGTGAAGCAGGCGCCTTTTTACATCATTGCTGCGCAGCACAGCACAGACGTGCCTGTGCGGCGGGCATGTCGCACGCTCTGAGCCCCAGCAGGCACTGTGCTCTTAAAGAGGCAGAGGGGTCAGAGCGGCCGTGCAGTGACAGTGTATATGCAGGTCCTGGCGGCCGAACTGTAACACCTCGGCTGCGCTCACTGCCCAAAAAACCTGGCGGGCCGGATCAGACTCCTCTGCGGGCCGCATGTGGCCCGCGGGCCGTAGTTTGAAGACCCCTGCCAGATGGGAGAAGGTGCAGACTGGGCTGAGGGACACCCCCCCACCCCATGCATGGATTTCATTCACTGGGCCTCTAGTATTTTAATAAAAAGTTAAAAAAAAATAGTGCCTTGGTTGGGTGGCTCAGTTGATTGGAACCAAAGATTGTGAGTTCAATCCCCAATTGGAGATGAATGGGAGGCAATCAATCAATGTTTCTCTCTCACATAAATATTTCATGTTTCTCTCTTTCTCCCTCTCCATTCTTTTCTCTAAAATCAATAAAAAGATACCCTTATGTGAAGATTAATACTTAATAAAAATAAAATAAAAAGTTACAATTCTTAAAAAACAACAACAACAACAACAAAAAAAAAAAAAAACACACACATATTCCTTACCCAGGAACCCAGATCTGGACTCACATTGGCTGAAAACTTTGAATATTAGAGACCTAGCACACAAAATTCTTACATGGGTAGGGTCCCTAAGCTTGGCCTGCAATCAGGGCTGATCTTCCCTAGCTGCTGAAGCTGGCCCTGCCTCCCTCTGCTGCCGGTCACCCTCTATGTGTGGGGAATCCAGTGGGGCAATTGGGGCCTGATGCTGTCTGAGTCCACTGCCACCCAACCCTGGTTCACCATTTCCTATAGGGTGATCAGAGCCTGCCGGCTGGGGGAAGGGACTGAGAGGTTGGCTTACAGGCCCCAATTGGGTGATCGGGGCCTGCGGGCTAGGGGCAGCTCTTGTGTTGAGAGTCTGTCCCCTAGTGATCAGTGTGGGTCATAGCCAACAGGTCGTTTTGCCATCCAGTCGATTTGCATATTACCTATATATAGTAGGTCCTCAGGTTACTTCAGAAATCCTACAGTGCAATTTTCACCATAAATCAAAACCCACCTACATAAGCACCTACATCACTCATATGGAGCACATACACACCAGTAATGAAGTGAAACAGTAAAAAAATAAAAAGAAAGATAACAATTCCTGACCTTCACTCGTGATAAATAAATAGCAAAAAGCATAAAGCACATATGTACATATGTCAAAATGATGAAATTTTTTATTTATAAATAAATGAGTGATGGCAACGTAACCACAAAATGAAGTAAGTCAAGTTGGACATAACCCAAGAACTTCCTGTAGATAATTAAATGTTGCTAGTGATGTAAAATTAACATTACCAAGATCATTTATTTTATTACAAATATCTTCATGATAAATTAAAATACAGTGCAACCTATGTGTACTATTTAATGCCCCAGCCAATTTTGCTAACCTTTGCTCTTTGATTGCTTAGCACATGTTTATAAAGAATCAGTTATAAAGTAAGTAAGTCATGGTGATGTAATGTACAAAATGGGGAAAACAGTCAATAATATTTTATTAACTTTGTAGGTAGATTTATGGTGATGACATCACTTCATAAAGTATATAGACATGTAATTACTATGTTGTAAACCTGAAGCTAATATAATATTGTTTTTCAATTATACTTCAATTAAAAAACCTGAAAATTAGGATTTCATCATTTTTTTTCTTTCTACCATTCTTCCTTATTATCCTGTAATCATAGATACTAAAAAATGAGCACAAACAAAAGTTCCTAGTTGAATTTTGAATTACATAGGACAGTAAGGGAGGAGAAGCTAGTGTCAAAAATTCATAAAACAAAAATGTTCTGTGGTTCATATATTTTTACTGTTTCCTTCTTATTTTCAACTATTATATTTTACTCTTGTCATAGCTGCCTTTAGCATTTTATCCCTTCCTCCCACCCAATCCCAATTTTAAAAACATTGCTGTGAAGTTAGATATTTAGGGTTGTTGTTACTCTATAAAATAAACTGGAAGGAAGGAGCTAAATGATCTCTTACCTGATATTTTACATTAGCTTTATGACAGAAAATTTCTGCTTCTTTTTAATCTCTTTTTGTGATCAGGTTTTAGCTTTATGTCAGAAAATATGGAATCTAGAAATTTGTCTTATTTTTAAGTGAGGTATTAGTCTTCATCAGTTCCTGGGGGATAAGGTTTCATTCAAGACATGTTTGGAACACCCACTACATGATAGACATGTTACTACTTTGGTGTCCTGTGGGTCCTGTTCTCAGTAGTTTATATTAATACAGCATGGCACTTTGAGTTCACTTGGAAACAGGTTTGCCTCTAATACTCAACTAATTAAATCTATTCACAATAGATATGACCAACCATAATAGACAAATCCCAAGAAATTGCAAATATGTGATGAAATACCAAGAAAAAAACAA